ATGAATAAATATATATTGCACATACCTTTACAGATATATATATATATATATATATATATAATACGAACAATAATAAATGACGATCAAAACATATACATATGCATATATACATCAGTACATAAGTAGTATTAACGATAATAAAAAATATATATATACATATACAATAATATATAACTAATAATATTGATAATAAAGATGATAATAATAATAATAATAAACGACATGTAATAAAAATGTTAATTACAATAACAATAAAAGGGGTGATAATAATGATAACTTATATATCAATAGTAAATAAGCGATACTAACAAGTGTATAAATTATACTAATAACTATACTATAGCATTAACAATAGTAATAATAATAATTTCATTAACAATGATTCATAACAATAGTAGATAAATAATAATCAATTAGTGGTCAAGGCCTTGGACTATCGTGAAGTTAGACCTCGGGGCAGATAAAACAAATGATATCAAAATTCGCGTCGGTGGACAATCTACCTTTCCTATGTAGCAATATATGGATCATTGAGCTGGAGTAAGTTGAAGGTTTTGGTGGTAAGAACAATGATGAGAAATGCATCTAGGTATATGAGGAGTATTGCATGTTCAAACCTGAGGATCGTAAGAGGGTCAAAGATTAGCATTACTGCTCCCTAACATTTAATAAAAGGTTACCGCTTGTTCTCATAAGGTAGCTAGTAGTTCTTGCCCGTCAGTGTGACTGACTCATGAAAAGTCCAATTTTTCAAAATATGCATATAACAGTAAAAATGCACTTTTTGAATGAAAAAAATATTTTGAAAACAAACTCAAACTATTTTGCATGACAAATTAAAACTCATTTTTAAAGTGTTACTTTAGACAAATTCATGTATCAGTCACATAGACCGGGTTGAGGATCACCCTCATATGATTTTCTGGCTGGTAGCCTTTACCCTATGTTGACTCTCACGTACATGATGTTGGCAGTTTCCTACAGAGTCCTTCGGGAAGAAATGTAAGGGCCGCAGGTCCTGATTTCGAGCTCTCTATAACTTCAATTCTTACACCCAGCTTTGATTTTCTATATGTGACATCTAACTTGTTTGACATGCTCATGTTTTATTTTTCCTCGTGCTTCCTTTAAATTCTTATACATTATTATGCTATTTTTTATAATACTAACTTTGCAGCAGTGGCGGGAGCAACAGGTGCACACTACTACTTTCTTTTTACTGAACTCCTTTTTACCGCATTTTGCAGCATGTTAATTTAATGTACTTGAAAAGACCCCTAGGGTAGAGAACAGTAGGACAAATGTTGAGGTGGGACCCTACGGTAGACCATGAAACTCAATATTGATTGCATTGTCACATATAAACCCAAAAAAAAAATATCACGACAAGGAGCTCGAAGCAGGACTACAGGCGGTTGGAGGACAACTTCAGAGGACAACCAAGACTCAACAACGAAGTATATCTACCTTAGCAAAACCATTCATTAGTTTTAAACAACATAAAACCATAGAACTTTGAAGTTGTTCGTCTAGTACGGCGTAAATTCTCACTCTATCCTTTAGGCCTTTGCACAATCATGTTGTGCGATATAAGTTCTAACTCTCTTAGGATTCTGATGACATCGTTCAGTGTGACGTAAACCCTTACTTCTTCTTAGGCTACTTGTATAATATGATATTATGTAAGTGTAAGTCTTAAATTTAAATAAATGACAGAAGTAAACATTAATAACATCATTTCCAAAACATAAAGCCAAACAATATGATAGTTTAGAAAATCATTGAGGTTCTCCTCTAAATTTGTGGCATCCCCTACTTCTGACTTCCTTGGACTCCAAAAATAGTTGTTGCTACTTGAGTTATTCCCACTTGACTTCTCTGTGTTCAACCTTGAAAACTTATATATATATATATATTACTTGTTGTTGATTATATGTCCAAATGAATTGAAGCTGTTGTTGTACCTAAATGTGATGCTCAGAGTGTTTCTAAATTTTTATATAAAAACACTTTTACAAGATATGGAATGTCTAGAGTAATTATTACTGATGGGGGATCCCATTTTAGAAATAAGAGGATCAAGAAATTGATAAAAAAATGATAATATGCATATATTCTCTACTGCTTATCATCCTCAGACTAGTAGTCTAGCAGAAATATCAAATCATGAAATAAAATGAGTTTTAAAAAAAGTTATAAATCCCTATAAATTGCATTGGTCTGCTAGATTAGATACTACATTATGGGCATATAGAACTGCTTATAAGTCTCGTTTTAACTTTTCTACATGGCCTTCGGGATGGTTTAAAATAGGTTGCATGCATGGTCATATCCCAAATCATAATTAATAGGACCTCCACGCTTAGGGATAAATAATTATATCATTTTGCATATACTAGAGAGAAGTCCACAATATAGATTTGTACTTAAGGTGATCGTCTAGTGCACATATGTTGTTAGTGACTTCCATGGCTCAGACAGAGCGTAAGTCCTTTTTTGGGAGTGTTTCCACTTTGTTAGTTGAACCTCCCTTTCTCTTCTTTTCCAGCAGCATTCTTGTCACTTCGATGGATATATATCTCACCACTTGGAGCTCCACCTGATAATCATATGATAAAATTTTATTCATTTGACCTTAGAGCTACTAATGTTCCTGCGAATAACACAATTCACGATTGCTAACCAGGGATATCTGAGTGTCGTTGGGTCTACTACTTTCATGACCAAATAGACTTATGGTCATAGTGGCTTGGGATAATGCTTCTGTGGTGCCCCAACCAAACCACCTCTACCTTTTAGGGATCACTCATCCCATCATTTTACTACCCCATTTGAGCCTGATCACTCCCTTTGGCGCTTCGTTGATGTCGTCACGTAGGTCCTGATTGTGGACAGGTTGCCACCCATTTAGGATAATATGATTCACCATCGACCCTTATGGCCCAATTTGGCCTTGGAAACATAGTGTGGACCCTATGCGATAACCCTAGTCAACTGATAAGCCGCCATTTGTATGGGATTATGAGAGATTCATTCTCTGTCAGTATGGAGACGTTTCTGTGAGATAACCATCCCTTATGACGCCTCTACTAATTGATATACAATTGTAAGAAAAATGTAATTAACTAAAGGAATACATTCCTTTAGGAGTTGTTGACCTCAGAGCAAACAAACACACTGAAATTTCTGGTTGTAGCTGGAATACATTCCTTTAGGAGTTGTTGACCTCAGAACAAACAAACACACTGAAATTTCTGGTTGTAGCTTTCTTTCGTAGGTCTTCTTTGCGGATACACCTCGAAGGCATTTTCAACCCGATTCTGTTTTGGGCGTATACTCTTGGGCTATCACACAATTTTTTTTTCATGAATTTTTTCCACATGATTTTTATCGTTGTATGTCCTTATCTTCCGACTCCTCTCTTCTTCAGACATCCATATGGTCTGGAAGATAGATTTACTCAGAAAAAGGGAATTATACCACGACAGTCAAACTAGTGACTCTTTCAAAAATAAAAGAATAAAAAAACAAAGCAAATTCCTAGCCATGTAAGTTCAAGAACGTTATCCTCAATAAGAAAAGGAAATAAGGAGATTTCGAGATTGTAGGTTTAAGCGAGGAGCACAATGTGACCCTTTTGGAGGAGATCAGTGAAAAACACTTGAAGGAAGAAGAATCCAAGGCCTTAAAGTGAAGTAAGGAAGAGAGATTTTGAGTCTATAATGTGAAATTGTGTTCATTAATCTTTCTTTGATTAGAGGAAGGTAGATAAGTTTTTTAGTTTTGATTTTTCTGGGTGTCTTAGTTGGCAATACTCTTGTAATTTGGTTATTTACTATCAATAAAATTTTCGAATTTTTTTTCAGAAGCCTGAGTGGAGATTAGATCTTCATTTTTCCTTTGGTTTGGAAGTGTAGGACAGATAGATCTGAATTATTGGTATGATTTTTGTTTGAATTGACATATAATGTTGTGTTAACATTGAAAAATTAATTTACAATCATCCCGACTAGGTGGATAGATAAAACTTATTATGAACTTAAGAACTCAGAAAAGATCTTAGTAGAACAATTAAGTTAATTACACGAATTTAGAGGAATAGGAATATTGCCTCTAGATTTGTGTCAAATAATTAGGGTGATTCAGATTCTTAGGCTGTTCACTAGTTTTAGGGAATTAATCTAGTGTACTAGCCGAACCTCCTTAAGACACCCGGGAGGGGATAAGGAAGATTATGCTCTAATTTGACACTTAAATTTCAATTGATAGTTTAAACCAACATTTTTACCTAACCAATTCAAGAAAACATTTGTCAGCACTATAAACCATATGAACTCTTTATCACTTAGAGTTAGGCTAGGTTTTATCACTTTAAGAAATTTGGGTAGTCATTTTTACTAAAAATCAAATTTCAAACATTCGAGCTAGAACTTGGACTAATACACTAGATTTTTTTTTATTTGAGATTTACTTGAACTAATACAGTAAACTCAATTCTATATTTTACGACTCATATATTTATGTGATTCACCAGTGCTTCGGTGTACGTAGTTTGTATTAAGTTCAAGAACATCTACATAAAATAATATAAAAAATATCAAAATAAAGGCATCAAAATTATACATTTCCCAACAGCAAAAAAAATAAAAAATAAAAAAATTTCTTCACAAAATTTATCCACAAGCTTTTTCAAAATTTTACATAAACTCGGGACCTACTTCCTTAGCCTGACTAAACAGGCGTCACGTGATACACGTGTGACCCAGCGCGGGTATTGATTGTTTTTAAACTCGTACCTAATTCCATGCCATCTGCTTTACAAGAACAATCTGTCTGTCTTCTCACTCTTCGAACCAGCCATGTCTACTTCCGGTCCTCGGCTCCCTCTTCTACTACAGGCGGCACTGTGTCAGGTCCTCTTCTTCAGCTTGCTTTCTTCGTCATTCTCTGCCTCTTACAATATTACTCATCTCCCTGGATTCGACGGACCACTACCCTTTCGTCTGGAAACTGGGTAAGTCTCTCAGATCTGTAACCCTAGAAAATGTTCTTGTTAAGTGGGTAGAATACCGGCGGCCAGTTAGAGCCTGATATATTATAAGATGATAAAGTTCCAACTTTTGATGAGTGTATGTAGTTATGTCTAATGATTGTGAGTTGTGCCGACTCTTTAATTGGAAAGAGTTTGTTAGACCCTTGAGGTCACGCGTTCGATCTTGAATATGAATGAAATTCTTAGGCACATGAAGTTAATCGAGAGACACGTATAACAGCCTTTGGCCAATCTTTAAGAAAAAAGAAATGTCTAATGATTGTGCCTATTCCAATTAAACAATGCTTTGTTAAAAAACCTTGTCAATACTGTAACTTTCTTTGATCAAGTTGTGAAAAAAATCGTCTCAAACTCTTCCTTATTTCAGTACTGTGCATTTGAGACTGACATCCATCCATCCATCCATCCGTGGATTTAACAATTTCCCCTCACCTGTGAATCCCAAAGCCAAATATTTTAATAGATAGATGTATATTGGCAACTTAATTTTGTTTTGCTCAAGGAATGAGACTAATCCCCAATCTCATTCTGATCTATATTAACAGTTTATGTGGTACACTTCTATGAAATCAATCCTGAACTTGTCTTTACTGGTTTTGGTTTTTGGATGGAAAAAGGTATGTGACTATGAATGAGACGAGCGGAGCTGAGTTATTCTATTACTTTGTGGAGTCTGAAAGAAATCCAAGCGAAGACCCACTCCTCCTGTGGCTAATTGGAGGGCCGGGCTGCTCGGGTATCAATGGCCTCGCCTTGGACATGGGTAAGCTCTGTTCTTCATCACCTCATCTCCTATTTCTATCATTTTCCCCCTCTTTTTATTAGCACAAATCAACTTTGAATGGAGATTGAAGATCCTTAATGTGTCAAGTTGTCCTGTTTGTGCAGGGCCTCTCAGATTCAAGATTGATGATTTTGATGGCCAACTGCCCAATTTATATGCTAATCCTTTCGCTTGGACAAAGGTGAGCGGCTTAATACAACCATTTTTTTTGCTTTTTTGGTTCTTTATTTAATGTGAATTTTGCTATCTAATTACTCATCTCTTGAATTATTTTGATTTTACAGATTTCAAACATGATCTTTGTGGATTGGCCTATTGGTACTGGATTCTCTTACTCAAAAACTGCGAAAGATTATACCACCGAAGATGTTGAGGGGACTGCGTTTATCTACAAGTTTCTTAGGAAAGTAAGATGATAAAATGGTTTCTCTTTGAACTAAATATATTTAGTTCTTTGTTTAAGTTGTGAGGTTGTTTTTTAACCTTACAAAGAAACTTATTGTGGAAAGATAATATGTGGATTGACTCATGTAGTTAGGTCAGTGTGAGGGTTGAAATGGGTAGAAAGCTTCCTATTTATGGGGCATTTATATATCACATTGTAGTTTTTGTGAGCAACAAATAATAATTTTTTTCTCTTCAATTTCATAAGACTTAGTTAGAAGATAAATAGCCACCGCATTACGAAAGTCACAAAATCCCCATGTTAGAAAAATAAAATAGGAATAATCAACAATAGATAATTGTAGAAACTACTAAAAATATAAAATAATAAAAATAGAAGATATCCAAAGTAGAAAATTTTAACACACATTATTCTTATATATTTACAAATCTAATACCAAAGCATTCATATTTAGATACATGTCATTCAAATCTTTGATATCATATTAAAAATATCACTATTGCTGACTTTCAAAAGTGAACTACATCTTTTCATGCATAGATTTTAAACACCAAATTGTTATAAATGTAAATATCAAACTTTAATTGCTAGATATGTAAATGCATAAAAATTGTGTGGTATGTATGTAAATTTCCCATTTTTTGTGTTGTTTGCTGAAGTTTTATTTTTTTAATGAAGTCAAAAGGGGGCAGTTGGTATTAAGATTTTAACACGAGAGATTAGAAACATGAGGGTGTTAAACTCTATATATGCTCTATAAGTCAAATCAATCGATCATGGCAAAGATGACACAAAACAAATATAGCATCACATAAATCAAGGTCAGAATTTCTCGATCAAGCTGGAATTCATATGAACAACGTCCGTTTATAAAGTAGGAAAATTTAAAATATCATAACATATTGTCTCACATTAGAGGAGAAGAATTGATGGTTTATACATAAGAGAATGGATAATATATCCTTTTGTACACTGAGTTGTCTTACCTTCTATACCATCATTTGTCCAAAGTATGATAACAATTTTATAATAGTAATTTTCAAACAGGAAAAGTGCATAATATTATACTATTTCATTTCTTACATCAGATTAGCTTAACACAAGATTTATACATATGAGAAAATGATGGTATCTTTTTGCACACTCATCTGCAACACATTCTATACTAATATTTGCCCAAGAGATGATAAAAATTCTAGAACAATAATTTTCAAACAGAAAAAATGCATAAATTCATAATATATTTCTTTCTAGCTTGTCTTGCATTCACCCTTTGTACAATGATGCTTAGTAAATATATATAATTTGGCTTTTTTTTTTTGTCTTTCCTCAAGAATCTTTAATCCTCTGAAACAGTTGCTGACAAGGATTCTTTTGTCAGGTTTGGTAGACTACCTCATCTGCCTAGTAGACTAGGGTCCATAACTCCCCGTGATGACATAACCATGACATCTTAAAGGGGTGCATCATCATTTCCCACATAATTCGCTCTGAAGTTCATATTGATGGTGATTTAATAAACTATAAACTTCATTTCTGCTTCTACCATACGCTAAAGCTCACAGTGATGATGATTTAATAAACTTTAAACTTTATTTTGCTTATACTATACGCTGACTAATCAACTCCCTTATGACTAGCCTTAATTAAAGGTACCCTCTCACTATCGGGAGGGGTAATTAACCTTAGGGGTTTGTGTCTATGAGAAATTTAGAACCCTATATCTTATGATCCTCGTAGAATGAGGGTGAAATCTCTAGATAGTGTTTTATTTACTATCTCATATATCTTCTAAAAATTCGATCTGAAACCTCACGATAAACTTCCCTCATTCCTCGTTCTTTCATTCTTATCTTTGTGGAAGGTTAAACCATTTTGAATTTTCGGAGCCACAAAAAAGACATGAGAATGTGAATCATATATCGTAAAATTTCATCATCATAATGATAGTGGAACTGCAGTGGCAGAAAACATGTAGTTATTATTTGAGTGAATCTACATAAAAAATATGGGTTTTATATGTTTTATTTTATTTAATTATTTGCTCTCAATAATCTAAATAAGGTTGTACAACTATTTTCAACACTGATAAATAGAGTTTGATTCATGATTCATATATCCCACTAACGCGATGTCATATACTTCTCCTGATAAACAATTAATGTCCATTTCCTAATAAAGATACTCATAAATACTTTTGAAATTCTCCACTGCTTATTGATGTCATAGGCTTCTCACAACAAACAATTAATGTCAATTTTTTAATAAAAATACTCATAAATGCTTTCAAAATTTATTTATTTCATAAGATTGATCAACTTATTGTCTCTATGAAGTTGTTTTTTCGTAGGGTGGCATTAATGAGGCTCTACAATTTAACATTCATAATTTTACTTTAGAACTGTGTTGTATTTATAACTCTCACAACATTATATACATTATTGAAATAATGTAGTGGCTCCTTGATCATCCAAATTTCCTCTCAAATCCTTTCTACATGGGTGGTGATTCATATGGTGGGAAAGTAGCTGGAAGATAACTGTGCTAACTGCTGATAAAATTGTTGAAGGTGAATTTTTTTGCCGACAGATTTTATATGAACAAAAGCATATTATAATTTATTTTCGCTAAGGCATCAATTATGCTTTATGTTGAACACAGGAAATGAAGTTGGTCAGAAGCCTCTAATCAATATCAAGGTATTTACTTGATGTAGTTGTATTGTATCTCGAAAAAAACTATCATTACATATGCTTTTTATACAAATGCTTATAAGTGTAGGTGGAATAAATTTGTTGAAGTTTTGAACTTTTTTTTGGTAATTTTCAGGGTTATCTAGTTGGTAATGCTGCAACAGGTGAAAAAGTTGATACAAGCTCTCAAGTTCCACATGCTTATGGATTGGGAATTATTTCCAAAGAGCTCTATAAGGTGCTTCCTTACTCTATTTAGGGTTCGTTTAGTTGATGAAAATTATTAAACATATTTTAAAAGTTGGTAAGTTTTGCTAAATATATCATTTGATTAGATATAATTAGAAATCATTTCAGACTTTGAAAACCTCCTCAAAATTTCCTTGAACATTTTTAATTTTATTTTCACAAGCTAAAAGAGTGAAAAAGTTCTTTCCCAACACGCTTGCACCTATATTCATTTTGGTGAGGTTGATCAAGGTATCATCAAAGCTTGTACCTTGATCAACAAGTTATTAATCGTGAACCAACTCTTGCTCTTCATTACTCAAACATTGTACACGCTATAACCACATTTCATTAAGCTGCCTAGAGGGGACAAGGGAAGCTAATAGTTTAATTGTTGAGCCTGCTATGGGTTCTCACTAGAGGAAATCATCGATGGTCCTCACCTTTAATTCTAAACTCAGCCAAAAGACAAATGCCATATAAACTAATTTGCTACACAACTAGCTATATTAAGCTTATGATATGCCCCAGTACCAAAATCAGTAAGAAAACGATAGCGAAACAAAAATAAACAGTTTGAAAACTCAAACGAGTGTTGCTCTTACAAAAAACAAAGGAAAACAACAATCATAATCCACTTTTTGAGAGGTAGATCGGCTCTCCCACAACTTTATGCATCGCTAGGAACACCACGAGAGAAAAAGAGAACAACAACCAATAAAAATATACATCAAGAAAAACAAATCCTACGTTATTACAAGGACAACATTGAATCCAACAATGTCAGGTTTTGTCTACTTCTATTTCTCTCTCTATTCATGCGTTAGTATTGAAGCTTCATTTATATTCAGCTAATAATGACACACTGTGCTGGAGAAGAAGACTTTAAAAGGCCTCAAAATGTGCTTTGTGCCACTCATCTTGAGACATTTAATGGGGTGAGTGATGTCTTCTTTTTAAGCGCATTGTGTTTTTCTTTTCTTTAGTTGGATTGAAACTGACATCCTGTAGTTACATTCAGTTTCTAGCAGAAATTAATTCTTATAGTATACTGGACCCTGATTGTTCTGATGAACCTCCAACGTCAGCTATGAGGTCTCTGAAGGAGAATACAGAAGACTTCATCAGCTCACCATTGTCATCAGTTCCTGATATTTCCTGTATAGTTAAGCTCTGCACATTCCCTTCATTTCTGTGTGCTACAAATATAGCTTCTAAGATTCTTAAAAGATTAACCAAAACTAATCTGGAAGAGTAATATGTTCAGACCGCTGAGCTTCTTGCCAATTACTGGGGGAATCACCATCTTGTGAAAAAGGCACTCCATGTCAAGGAGGTACTTATAAATGAATTAGTTTTCGTCACTGTGATGAATTCAGATGTTTGAAATTGTGTGATAATGTCTATATTTCAAGGGAACAATTGAACGATTTCACCGCTGTGATTTCAATGTGAATTCGTATTATTACACACGAAGTGTCCCAAGCACTGTACCTTATCACTATAGTCTCATTACTCGAGGTTTTCGAGCTCTAGTTTACAGGTAAATTTCCAGCCTTCTTTTCTGTAAATGCTAGAAAGAAGAAAGATGCTTATTTGCTTGGGGATTTAATTGTTATTTTAATCATATTGTGGTTCAAACAGTGGTGATCATGATCTGAGGATTCCATTCTTGGGAACTCTAGAGTGGATAAAATCTCTCAACTTTTCCGTCTTGGAGCCATGGCGATCGTGGCATGCTGGCGGACAAGTTGGAGGGTGAGGAGACTATAATTTTGTTATTTTTTTATTGAAGATTTTTCTTTTACTCAAAAGACTGAAACTTTTTTTTTAATGATTTTGAATTTGCAGATACACCATTTTGTTCTCAAACAATTTAACTTTTGCAACTGTGAAGGTATGAAACTCCTTAATGTTTGATATAGAATATGGTGGGATGTTGTTTTGAGAGTAATTATTCCATTGCTGTTTATGAACTGGTTGCAGGGTGGTAGTCATGTAGCACCGGGTAAAATGCCGTTAGAATGTTTTGCCATGTTTGAAAGATGGATTTCTCACGAGAGTCTCTGATTTCAATGAATCATTTTTTCACATATTTTGGCGAGGAGATATGATCCCTTTATGTTGAATAATTACAGAAATTTTTCTATGAATAGAATTTTACTGCATTTATGTTTTTCAAGCTGTAATTTGTTAGGGCTTTGTTGTTGTTGTTGTTGTTGTATGCTTTTCAAGTTGTAGGAGGAGCATATGATGCTGTTTTGTCTTGAGAGTTTATTTGGTTGGATTTTTAGTTAGTTGTATAAGAGGAGGCAGTTCTTGCAGAATGCATCATTTGCTACCAGAGCTGAAATAAAGGGACCAAACTACACAACACTTAATCGAAATGGTTAGCTAAGCATTAAAGAGAACTGAAAAGACAGGAATGATGGAATCATAAATTCTTTAAGCAAAGCTTCTGAAAAAAAATTATTTATATAATTTTATATTTATAAACTAATTCAATTTTTAAATAATCTCTTTTTTTCTAAAGTAATGAGGAACTATAATAGTTTTATTTATTTATTTATTTATTTATTAAGTAATGCAATCGATTATTAACAAAAAATATGTATTAATTATTTCTTTATAAAGCTTGTTTTAAATTTATAAGCGTAATTAGTAGTACAAAATTTTTAATTGAATTTGAAATATATTAATTAATATAATTAAATTAATCTCTTTAATTTGATATAGAAGTAAAAGAACGTTATGTTTTTTGTCATTACTTATGTTTAAAGATATTATACCTTGAAAATATTTTTAATGTAATATTATTTTATAAATTTTTTTGAGGATATAAACGTTTTTGAAATATAAATGTTTAACAAAATACATTATGTATTAAATATGAAAAAGTATGCAAAAGCTATTTTAAATTAATTTTAAAAATATATTTTTGAAATTAATCTCTTATAAACTATTTATTTTAAAATATATTATTTAATAAACATATATTGGTGAAAACTTATTCTCATTAATTAAAAATAGAATACTAGAAATAATTTAATTAATTCAATATTATTGTTCGGTTGGCAGTAAGTAGAGTTATATATTAAAATCCTAACATTGTATGAATTTTCATCACATAGATAAAAAAAGACTTGAACAAATGTGCACCATCGTCGACAATTGCCCGCTGGTTCTCGTCGACCATCGTCAGTCGGCTGCTGTCACAAACCCCCCCGGCTGCTGTCAACAACCGCCCGCTGACTGTCGTCAACCACTGCCGCCTGCCCTTGCTCACCACCTACGTTGGACTTTGCAGTGTAACGATGTATCCTGAATACGGCGGTGTAACAATGTGTCAATACAGTGTAACGACAGACTTCAAATATAGTGTAACGATGTATCTCGAATACAGTATAACGATGCATCTCGAATACGTTGTAATCAATACCATTGTATTGAAGATTTTTTGCAGTGTAACGATGTATCATGAATACGGCGGTGTAACAATGTGTCCTTAATACAGTGTAACGATGTATCTTGAATACGTTGTAATCAATACCATTGTATTGAAGATTTGATTATAACTCCCACCAACAATTACTTGCGACTGTCTAAAATATTTAATGCATTTTATATAGACAAATGTTAGATTTGAGTGAAGTTATAACTATATTCTGTGAGAAAAGTGGGCAATATTTGTAATTGTACATTTATAGTGGATAATTTATATGAGTTGGGCTCCTTTGATATTATCTTTTGTGTCTTACGGATCCTCCAATGAAGCCAAGATGCGCAATAATAATAATTATTTTATTGCACCCATTGATCTATCCATATTTTTAAATCTATGTATATAAATCGTTATATGCCCCCCAATTTTTCTCTCCTAATTTTTTAAAGAACATTGTTTTGTTTAATCTGTCCGTTGTAAACATCGCTTTGTTTAAAGCTAAGAGGCTCTTCTTGCGTTACTTTTTTTTTTATTTCAAGGAATTCTTCTCTTACATTTATTAAATATCAAAGTTTAGGCGCGAGATATGTAAATACATAAGAATTAAGTGCTTGGCATTTACATGTTGGTTGGACAGTGAAGGATGCTCATTTTTTTATCAGCACGGCGCCAAAGAGTTGTATTTTAAATTAATTTAGAGTTCCAACAAAATAAATATTTTAATATCATCTTAGGAACGCATTTATATTTTTTATTTTTTTTTAAAAAGCTATTTCTTTTTTTTTATTATTATTATATTTGTACTACTCAGAACATAAATATTTTTATCCATTTCACGAGATAATAATGCATATAGCTATTAAGTATATATTTATAAGATTGGATGTAATGGTTCATGTCACTTAAAAATGAGATTGTGATGAAGTTGTCTATCACAATTATTTTTAGACTGCAAAAAAAATAATTGGACCGTTAGCTTTTCCTGCCTTTTTTTTCTTAATCATAAACTTCTATCTCTAACCATCTTTTGTAAATTGGACCGACTGCGTTGTGTAGTGTAGCCTGTTTTTTCTCTCTTATTTCGGCCCTGCTCCTCTCTCAACCATGTCAATTACCTTCATCCTCCTGCAAAGACTATTAGTGTTCTTTTCCAGTTTCTGTTTATTTCCTTATTACTATAATACAATGTAGCCGAGTCACTCATCTTCCAGGTTTCAATGGCTATCTTCCCTTCTATCTTTAAACAGGGTGAGATCTCAACTTAAATTTGCATACCTAATGATTGAAATTTATTACTAAATCTATATGATTTTAATCTGATATTCTTATATTACTCCTCGTGGTTTGAAGCTATGTGACAGTGAATGAAGAGAGCGGGGCAGAACTGTTCTACTACTTTGTAGAGTCTAAGAGGAATCCCAGTGATGATCCACTCATCCTTTTTCTTGTTGGTGGACCTTATTGCTCTGGTTTTTCTGGCTTAGCCATGGACATTGGTGATCATTTTCTTATTTCTTACGATTTATTTCATGGAAATTTGAGATTTAGAACACACACAACATAACGCTATTTGATATCACTTCAAAAATACAATTATATTTAATTGTTTTTCATGCATAGATAAGGGGGCACACATGTAAAAATGAAGTTTAGGTATTAGATATTTAAATGCATAGGAATTGAGTGGTATGTATGTATATTTCTCTTCTAACAGTTAGCATTAATATTGTCATAGGACCTTACTGTGATCAGTATGCGCGCATACCTTTGTTTCTTTTTCTTCTCTTGCTCTATTTGAGGCCTTTATATACATAAATCGTTATATAGATATGGTGTACTTGTTGTTTTTCTTTCCTTAGTTGGGGGATCAGAATCCTGGTGTTTTTGATCAGCAGAGAAGTGGGTTGGATTTATGATTTGCTCTGCTATAGTTTAAGACCTTGTTTCTCTTGCGAATCAAATAATAGTGTTTTTTTTTTTCAATCTCATTCCCGAATGATCTTCTTCTTCATCTTCATCTTCATCAACAATGTTGGTTGTGATATCAATTTTTGTACATTACAAAATTTGTTATCAGAGCCTTCAAATTTTGATATCAAGAAATTTACGAGCAAGATTAACTTCCCAATGTCTTGCTCACGAATCCCAAATCACCTCCGGTAGCCTTGCTCCCTATCATTCATGAAGACTTCCTCGTTCCCACCCCTTTCTTCAGATATATATATTATTAGTGTAAGATTTTAGTAATTTCTATAGGCTTATCATATGCAGGTCCTCTCAAGTATAAAGTCAAAGCATATGATGGAACGTTGCCTACTTTGACTTCTAATCCTTATTCGTGGCACAAGTATGTGATTAAGAACTGACTTTACTTTTCTCATTTACATTCATGACATTTATCATTATTTTCTATAATAAAATCTTTTGGATCATTAAGTCTCCAGCATTATCTTTTTGGATTGGCCTGTGGAGACCGGATTCTCATTCTCAACAAGTATTGTGGATTAACATACATGTGAAGTACAATCTACAAAACAAATCTATATTGTGGGACATAGAAATAAAATAGGAAAATTATCTTTGACGAAGCGAAAAATAGGACGAGAAAATTCACATCAAAGAACAGTAACATAGCGGAACACACAAATTTACGTGGTTCGGCAAGTTGCCTACGTCAACAGAGTTGCAGAGGATTTTACTATTTGACGAATTTACATCAGTCGATCATCTCAACTTACAAGAGGAATCTCTTACTTCGTTGCTCTCTATTTTTCTCTCTCTATTCCGAGATACACCGAAGAAACTCTACATCGAAATACGCCGAAGAAAATAAAATTACAAGAGAAATAAATTCAATTTCCACAAGCCATCAAGAAGAAGTTAAGTGTGAACAATCTTCTTCTTCTTTCTTGTTTCTTCTGCCGCAAGTAACTACTACTTGTACTTCTCTTCCTCTATCCCAAGGAAGCCCGAAGAAGAACAAAAAAAGTTCGAGAAGCTTTAAACTGAAGTAGAGCCGTGCCATGCCTTTCTTCTTATTCCTTCTGTCGCAGAGCAGGCGATGCTTCGCGAAACATGGAGGAAGCGGGAGATCTGGCACCGATTCGCGAAATAAGGGGGAGGCGGGAACAGTTAAGCGGCAAGCAAATGTTTTTACCGGGCTCCACCTCAACAATCTATAAGTTCCTTATAAAGGTGAGAAGATTTTAACAATTGCATTGTCTTCAATAATAACCATTTTTTTAGTCGTTGATTCTTTGATGCAGTGGTTGCTTGATCATCCGAGTTTTCAATCAAATCCTTTTTATGTTGCTGGAGATTCATATGGAGGGAAAATGGCACCTCTGTCTGCTCTAGAGATTGCAGATGGTAATTATTTAAAAATTCAGATTACATAATTTATAAATGAAATGCTAATTAATTCTATGTAATGGATCACAGGCAATGAAAAATTTCAGCAACCCTTTGTTAATCTCAATGTATGTCCTTCAGCTCGTTATTACTACAAAATAAATTTTCAACTCATGGTTTTATTGACTTCTTTAAACTAGAAAAGTTGAAATAAAATAGCTTTTTTTTCAAAATAAATAAGTTATGTCATGCTCCGAAAAGAGAACAATTCAAATTTTGTAAACTAAAATTTTCAGAAATATAAATGCTGTAAATCTTTTAAAATTTTGTAACTTCTCCCCCGAATATTATCAAGGCTTTCTATGGGAATATGGCTTGATAGTTTGTAATGTTTTCAGGGTTATTTAGTTGGCAACCCAGTTACAGGGTGAAAGGATTAACATCAGTTCTCAACCTCCTTATACTTATGGAACGGGACTGATTTCTACTAAAGGTTCAAATTTTCTTTTCCTTAATTGCAAACATTATTTATTGTATTTTATGCAAACTTCGATCCATTGCCAATAACAGATGAAAAAAAAAAGAATAAAAAAGGCAATGAATATTATGTGCTCATTTTGGCGAGTAAAGTGTCAAAATAGTCCTGTGATCATTCACATTGAGCAATTTTAATCTCAGAGCCTATAAATGTGCCTAATTAGTCCTCAAACTTTTAGTTAACGCTAAAATAATCTTCTTAAATAATTTCGTTATATGGTAGATTTTTAGGTTTGCATGTGATTTTTATTTGTTAAATTATAAATTGTCTTTTCATATCACAGTTTTCCCTATTATGAGTTATTTAACATTTAGCCAACTAAAGTTGGATGTAAAGTATAACATAAAAGTGTTATATGATATTTTGTCATGTCAAGTGACTTTATTATGATTAACTATGCTTCAGAGTAAACTAACCATTGGTTTTTTTTTTACGAAGATATGCTAAACTTAAAAAATATTGCTGACTTCTTTCATTCTCAGCTGACACAAATAAATTGTGTGGGGGAAGACTATCTAAATCCTAAGACTACTCATTGCGAAACAAGCCTCAAAACATTGAATGGGGTAATCTTCATTTTGATAATATTTAGATGATTTTCTCATTACATAAATGATCCTAAACTCATGTAGTCATGCACATTCGCTTAGTTCCTTTCAGAGACCAACAAATATAACATATTGAAACCTAAATTTCTTGATGACTCTTTTGAACTGAAGGAACAAAAAGGCAACCACAAGTCAATTAAGGAGAAGTTTTTTGAATTCTATGCTTCATTATGTGTACTTGATACTGATTGTGCCAGTTAAGTCATATTTATTAGTTTGATATTCATTTCTTTCTACATAAACATCAAGCTTTTTTATTCATGCAAAATACAATTGAAATTGTTTTATTTTTTTGTAGAATGATCATCTGCTTTCTTATTATTTGTCGAATGGCCATCTCACCAAAGAGACTCTTCATATCAAAGAGGTAAATTGACTGTTTTCTAGTTGTTTTTGTTCAAAGTAATGCTACTTTGGCCGATAAATAGGATAAATATATAGTTTAATGTGGTGAAGTGTGGGCTCCAAAATTCAAAAATTATTTGCCTCTCTTGAAGATAATAAAAGAAGTATAAGGAATTGGGAAGCTGACTGTGAGGTTTCATATCAAATTTTCAGAAGATATATGAATAGTAGATAAGACGCTACCTCAAAGATTTTTGCTCTCATTTTGTGTGAACTTTAAGATTTGGAGTTCAAGGTTTCCCATAGACACAAACCCCTAGTTAATTGTCTCTCCTGATAACGTGAGACACTTTCAATTAAGGCTAGTCATTAGGTGCTAAGTATTTAGACTTAACATATTGTAGTACCATATTAAAAATTTTAAATTAATGAAATTATCATCGTAAGCCCTTATGGTTACTTAGTATATAAAAGTACCATATTGTAAATTTAAAATTTATAACATTATCACCATGAGCTTAAGAGCATATTGTACGGGAACTAGTGAAGTACTCCATCAAGATCTCACGGTTCTATCATTTCGAGTCAGCATGGTTCTTGATCTACTTAGTAAGAGAAAGTAGATGGGATAATAGAGATGATCAAGAAGGAAACGGAAGAGAAAATTTGGAATTGTAATTTGAATAATATATATTATTAAAATATAAATATTTAAATGTATTTTAATTATTTCATATCTAAACTTGAATATAATTGTATACTAATATTAATATTTAAATAGATAAATATAAATTAATATATTTCATATTTAATTAATGTAAATATTTAGCTCTTTAACGCATGCCAAGGGAATCAATTCGTTTGAATCGTCACAATTTCCTAGATGTAATTGCATAGACCATTTCGTAAAATGATGGCTCGACGAAAAAAAAAATTTTATGGCAAAAAGTTCATACAATAAAGACTTTATGCACACAAATCCGCATAAAAAATAGTAGATTGTGTCTTTGTACTTGTAGTCCATTGTTTTTATTAAGTTGGATCTTTTTATCACGTTAGATCTTTTTTTTGGGTAATTTCAACCCCTGAATGTATTGATATAGTTTGATTTAAAATTGGGTCTCGTTTGGGGAGCTTTGTCGTTGCATTAAGGAAATCGTCTTAGAGCAGTTTGATGTTAAACCTGATATTTATCATTTTTTATCGAGCGGAGCATATATGAAGGTTAACATGAAGATAAGCAAACAAAAGATAAAAAGAGTAAAATAATATATTAATGATATTGATTCATTTTTTATTCTATTCTTTTATTAAAGTTGCATTACTCTTTTGATTCTTGTTATTCATCATGCTTAACCAAGTTGTTTTGGTTAATATTTTGCTTGAACAACACTTGGGATGGGCTAGAATAAACTAAATTATTATATTTCTTCAATATGAATCTATTGTCTCTTTTTAACAGAAGAATAAATTAGTATAGTTAGAGAACACTCACCCTCTGTAATATTCTCTATTTTTACTAACCACAAGCCATGTCAATGATGTAAAACATTTGCAGGGTACTGCGGAAGAATGACATTATTGCAAGCAAGATTCAAATAATTAAACATATAGCGTACCAACTTCTGTGTTTCATCATCTCAAGCTAATAAGAAAAGGATATCGAGCTCTGATTTATAGGTGATCGAAGCATATCATATGCAAACAATCTTTTAATTTTTATAATTTACTATTTCATGCAAGGATCCATCTAACTTTTATTTGCACTTGTGAACCAAATAGTGAGGATCATGATCTAAATATACCATATGTTAGCACACTTGAGTGGGTAAGATCCCTCAACTGCTCTATCATAAAAAATTGGCAATTGTGGTGTGCTGATGGCCAAGTTGCAGGGTGAGCAATTCATTGGTTTTAATGCACATTTAGTGTAGGAGATTGGATCATTTGCAAACTCAATTTAAGCGCATAACACACATTTATCAACACAATTCTTATGTATTTACGTGTCTAACAGCTAAACATTAATTTGCATCATTTACTGATGCAAATTAAAAAAGCATCGGGGCTTCTTCTCGGGACATGCAAATATTAATTTGCAAGACAAAAAAACACCTGAATCTCTGGTTGTGGGTAGTCTACGTAAATAGTATTTCGCGGATATTGGTCCAAGGCGCTTCCGTCTGATCTTATTTGACCGGACATACTTGATCTATCATTGCAATGTTTATTGCACATAGACTCTTCTCGTTTTTTTTTCTTATTTGTCGTTTTTTTCGTCTCGTTTTTTCTAGTTTTTTTCTTCTCTTGATCATTTATATGATGTAGAAGACAGACTTATTCAGAAAAGAAAAGTATACAATGATAGACAGACTGGTGACTCCTTTGAAAATAAAAGAGAAATGAATGAAAATAATTGCATCTTGCATATTGCATTGCATGTTTGTATGCCAATGCGTTTGTTCGCCCACACTAGGCAGGTATGACCCGTCACCCAACATTGCCTGGCTCAATTAATCGTCCATCATTGGATGACTTAATTGGTCGAACGATGCCGGTCGGCCCGACCATACACCTTTTAATCGACCAGTTATTTGTACGCCTTGTTTGTGGTGTCGTAGTGGGTCTAGTCGCCCACAATAGGAAAAATTGGTCGGCTGATACTAATCGATTCGATCATATGCCTATTGATTGGCCAATTACACGCATTTGACATGTTGCATTTCACACTACACTTTACTTAGACCCATCGACCGAGCTCTATTGACATTACGCTTTGGTTCGACTGACCGACCTGACTCGTTCGACCTGCCACTTTGCTCCTACCGGCCACCCAGGCTCAGTCGACCAACCACTTTGGTCATGTCGATATTCTTAGCCCGACTGAGCCCTTCGCTATGTTGCCTTGGGTTGATCGCCCTAATCGAATCAGCGGGTTGAACAACTAACATCACTTGCATGATGTGTGCTTTGCATGTGCATTAGTGTTGTTTGCATGACATTTTGCATAGTTATTATCATATGTTTGAGTTGCATTTTGAGTATTCATTCATATACCCACCCCACTTGTATCAATATAGCCAGTGAGAATCATCATTCTCTTGAGTCATTGCCCCCTTATGGTACACTCGTTCATGTGGGTCGCCGCCTCCATGACAAACTCGTCTTTTTGGGTCGCCGCCTTCAAGACACACCCACCCTTCTAGGTCATTGACACTTATCCTTTGGGTTGTTGTCTCCACTGCAAGCCCACCCCTTCGGGTCGTTGTCTTCACGACACACTTCTCACCACTTTTATCATATGATTGTTTGCTTTTGCATATGTAAACGTGCATGGATAACAATCCAAGCATGAATGATGAGTGATCCCGTGTTGGTCACGATGTCTTAACGAGCATTTATAGTAAAGTCGATCCCGACGAGTAATATGAGTTAAATCATCGGGACTGACACAAGTATGACTAAGTTAATGATCTATAAGATTTATCTTTTGTCACCCTTAATTTAAAAACAATTTTTTTTTCTATTTATTATATTTGCCATAAATTTAATATTATGCATGTTGCAAACTAGATCATATATAAGACCAACCCTTTTTCAAAATCCATCATGGGTGACACCCTTAAGATCCATTGGTTCTTTAGGATGGGGCTGGTGTTGCGACCTCCTCAAAGTCATACATATCCAAAGACTTATTCTGAGTACTAAAATGTTGGTTAGGATCCACCTTCTCGTTATTGTGTTCTAGGCTTCGATTTAGGGTGCTAGGTAGTTTTTTTGATGTCCTGGCTCTATTTTGTTAGCGCTGACGTGGAGCCCAGTCAGCCCAACCCCGACTCCCGCTCCCGCTCTCTCTATCACGATCTTGATTTGCGTGATCCGATCAGGACGATTCACGATCTTGATTTGCGAAGAGTCACGCCTTCGTTCGTAAAACTGTTCCCGCCTTTCTGTGACGTGAAACAAAGCATCCCTTCATTCCTTCTTGTTGGTGATAAAAGGCTTCGGATGGCTCTCCTTCAGAATGTGAAGTCATGGTATTCTTCTTTGGTTTTTCTCGGGATAGAGGAAGGTTTCCTCGGGGCAGAGGAAGATAAGTGCAAGAGGTAGTTCCTTACGGCAGAAGGAAGAGGAAATAAGAAGAAGATTGTTCTCCCTAGGCTTCTTTGTGGTGACTTCTGACAGAAGAGAAATTGAGTTTCTTTCTTTTATAAGTTTGTCTTCTTCGTTATATCTCGGTCTAGAGTTTCTTCAGTGTATCTCGATATAGAGAGAGAAGAAGAGAGAGAGAGCAATGAAGTGGAAGTGAGAATTCCTCTTGTAAGTTTAGGTGATCGACTGGTGTAAATTTCTCTAGTAGTAAAATCCTCTGCAACTCCGTGGACGTAAGCAATTTTCCGAACCACGTAAATCTGTGTGTTCCTCTGTATTGTTCTTTTTTGGTGTGTTTTTTTCTCGTTCTATTTTTCGCTTCATCGATCGTTCTTCTGTTTGGTTTATATATATACCACATCAACTGGTATAGTTCACAACAACTGGTATCAGAGCCAGGTTCAGATCTGGCCAGGTTCAGATCTGGTTCAGATCTGAGGAAAAATGATGACTGCAGATGAAGTGAAGGTTTCAGGGATCGAGAAGCTTGATGACACAAATTTTGATTATTGGAGAATGCAGATAGAATATTAGCTTTATGGGAGGAAACTTCTTCAATTATTGGGGAAAAGATCTGAAAGAATGGATGAGGCTGAATGGAATTTGTTGGGGGAAAAGATCTGAAAGAATGGATGAGGCTGAATGAAATTTGTTGGATCGACAAGTTCTGAGTGTTATTCGATAAGTTCTGAGGGTTATTCGATAGACTGTATCGAGGTCCGCTGCACACATCAACGTCCATTGCACACATCGACGTCAAAGAGAGGACGTCTGCAGATCTCATGGAAGCCTTATCCGGTATAGGTATCTATGAAAAGTCGTTGGTGAATCACAAGGTTCACTTGATGAAGAAGTTATTCAATTTGAAGA